GGCTGAAATTTCATCATTTCAATCGCTTTGCGCATTGCTAAGGCGAGCAGTGACACGTGCGAGAAAATTCCCAGCTTCCAAAATGACGACGTTCCGAATGGCTGTAAACTGCCGTCACCGTCTACAGCCGAAACTCGATCTGTTATATTTCGGCAACGCAATTCAGAGCATTCCAACATATGCATCAGCTGGCGACGTTTTATCACGCGATCTGCGTTGGTGTGCGGAGCAATTGAACAAGAACGTGAAGGCACACGATAATGTTATGGTGAGGAAGTTTGTAGAGGATTGGGAGAAGGATCCACGGTGTTTTCCGTTAGGGAATTTCGACGGAGCTATGCTAACAATGAGGAGTTCGCCGAGATTCCCAATGTACGACAATGATTTCGGGTGGGGCAGACCCGTTGCCGTTCGGAGCGGGCGGGCGAACAAGTTTGACGGGAAGATATCAACGTTTCTGGGAAGAGAAGGAGGAGGAAGCGTTGATTTGGAGGTGGTTTTGTCACCGGAAACAATGGACGGCCTTGAGTTGGACACAGAGTTCATGCAATATGTTTTTGAGTATTGACTGTTGTNGGAAATGTGGGATGAGGAAAGAATGAGTGTAGCATATTGTAGCTGTTTTCTGTTTGGGTTGTTATGATTAATTTTAATTTTATTTTTATGTTCCATAATTTAAATGAAATTGTCAACCTTTATAATAATTGAGTTGATTCATCACTTTGTATAAGAAAGCACGTGGATCATTGTGAATATAATATTTCTTGCATTTTAATTTATGCCATGGTGTTTGACAGATACAAAATTTCAGATGAAAGAAAAACTTTTGAAAAATTATGGTCTAAACAAGCCATACAAATTTATGTAGCTATAAATCATCACATTAAGAGGTGTTTGGTACAAGGTATAAGGATAATAATCCCAGATAAAGTTTGGGATTGTTTTTGTCCCATATTTTATTATAGGTATTAGCTAATCTCGTAATAAGTTTTACACTAAAATGGTGGGATTAACTATCCAATATAGAACGTAGGATAACTAATCTCGTGGGATATCTTGTTCATCCTACTATTGTACCAAACGAAGGGTAAATATAAAGTCTTAAAGTTAAATTATTACTTAATGAGTATAAAATATAATAATGCTAATCTTTTCGGCCAGTCTAAAAGGAAAGAAGTCGCATAATTTGCGATAGGAGTATGTAATTAGCTAAGTACTTACGGAGTAGTTATTAATTGATTAGAATATTATATATTCAGAGTTGGCACTACCAAGAAACGTTTCTCATTTCTTGTTTTTGGGTCACCCCAAGAGCAAAGTAAGGAGTTCTTAGAGGGAGAGCAGAGGGTCTATCGGAAACATCCTCAGAATCTATCGGAAACAGCCTATCTACCCAGGATAGAGTAAGGTCTGCGTACAAACTACCCTCTCCAGACCCCACTAGTGAAATTATATTGAGTTGTTGTTGTTATTGTTCTAGGATTTAATGGATGTGTCGCACAGCGGAGCAGAAAAAGAACATTAATCCTATCCTGTTTTTGGAGCAAAAATGGATTAGTTTTTCTTCTCTTTAGTAGATCGAGTTATGTTTCAGAATTACCTCTGCAGTCTTTTAAGTGTTAGTTTTCCATTCTAATAATATGAATTAGCAGTGGGGTTTGACATAAACGAATGATTTTTTCATGAAATTTTCTAGGATTGCTTTTGAACTGTCATTCACGTGGAAACTGAAAAAACATTAGTGTCAAAGCTCTTTATCACATTTGTTGAGATATGTGAATTTTGATGGTTAAAAAACAAAATAAACTTGTGAATATGAGTTTGGATGAAACTAGGTGTAATGGACTGTATATGAATCTATTCGTAACTAATTAAGGTAATTGATTTTATTTTATTTTTTGGAAGGAGTTTGATTTTTACTTGGACTCAATTTGTTAATTTATTACTATCAGCCAAGTGGAAATATTCTTGGTGAGGATTAATGCGGTTGGACTTCTCCAACTAGGGAGATCTTTCTTTTAGTTGATTAGGTGAATATAGGTGGAAATATACTGAATAAGTGAATATAGGTAGATTAGTATCGGGCGAATCGGACGGATAATTACGCTTAACGGTTCGGCTTATCGGTTATCAGATTATAAATGTAGTATTCCAATAAGACAACAAGCGGATTGGTATCGGATTAACGATTATCGGACGATTTAATTATCGGCTAAACCAAATAATTTTTTTTGGTGTACTATTGAAATGGATTCTTTTTTATGGGTGATTTTATTGACTGACTTCCTATACGCATCCTAACAGACCTGATGAGCTGGATAGAATTTAGAATTGAAAATTCTGGTGAAAAAGTTATAAATTGGAATGGATATCGAGTCTTAGGAGTTTTTGCTACTTCAAGATCTATAGGAAAGTGTAAATAAAAAAAATATTTAACGGGTTAACAGTTTATCCGATAAGAAAATTGAGTAATCCGCCTCCAAACCGTTAAGTCGTTAATTATAAAATCTCAATCCGTTCGCCATCCATTACCCCGATAATCCGATATCAATAAGCCAATAAGTCATCGATTCGATTTGGTTAACAGTTTCAGTTCGGTTTTGAACCGCCGTCCAAAACAAACAAGGAACAAATTAGACTACCACAAAAGGCCGAAGAGTCGCCACAAATAGTTGGTTGGTCGCCGCTTCTACCGGCGGCTGTTAGGACGCTTTTTATATACTTTCAGTGACAACTCTAGTCGCCACAATAGCTCAAGTTTTGGCGCCGAATTGTTTTTGTCGCCACCATAGTTTTGTTGCAAAGTTTTAGTCGCCACCTAAAACCAGTTTTTTCAACAACTAAATTCTGCATATATTTCCAACGGCAACCAAATTTCTTAAATTATTATTGATGTATATTTCTATCAATGTCCTGCTATTATTAAAACCATCCATTATTATTCAACAAATATCAAAACATTTCTCTACTGAATATTATAGATACTTTCGCTATTAAAAGATAAATTGAATATGCAATACATGATACGTCATTATTATTCATTGTCTTTGTAAGTATATATATATATATATATATATATATATATATATATACACACCCAAAAAAACAAACATTATTGTCCAAGTTCTTTGTTATATTAATCTTTGATTAATTGATAAAGAGACTTAGGCCTCATTTGTTTGCACTTAATGTAGGTCTAAATCTTAATTTTTCAGATCTTAGACATTAAGTGCGTTTATTTTTAAAGTCGAAATTTTAATTATTCAGTTCTTAATCATTAAGTGTATTTTTTCTTTTTACTTCACAACCACTTAATGAGTCTGAATAGGTCTGTATGATTAAGATCTATAACAGAGACTTAATTTCATTAAGATGTTATCATCCACATTCATTATTAACTGCCGCCACCGCCAACCATTATCAACTACCACCATGCCACCCACCACCACCACTATACTCAATCACCACCACCATGATCTTCAATCATAGCTACCATTATCGACTACTATCACCTACCATCCCCACCACTCCCACCAGCATCATTTCAACCACAACCAATACTCATCCACCTCAACTACCACAACTAATTATCTCATCACCATCAACAATCATAGCCGACACTACCTATCATTATAAACTATCACCACCCACCGCCACCTTCCTCAATCACAACTACCACCACCACCCGCCATTACTAACTATCACCACCCACCACCACCATCCTCAATCATAATAGCCACCACTACCAATTACCACTAGCTACTACCCTGAACCACCACCATGAACCAAAACTACCACCAACTGCCGCCTCTAATCGGGATTCACAAGCACCACCGTTAGCCATTACCATCAACAACTACCATAGAATATTAGATTGATTAGCATTTTAATTGAATTTTATGTTTATTAATTTTCAAATAAAGATAAATTGCATACATTCAGATGTTAAAAATCAAACAGTCTTAATCATTTAGTATTCAAATCTTAATACACATTTTAATTTTCAGATGTCTTAATCTTAAAATACATCTTAATATTCAGATATGTATTCAGATTCAAACATTTTAATGTTAGAAAAAAACAAATGAGGCCTAAGGCATCAACATGACCTACAGAGTCAAAGCATAAATTATTAACGACAGTGTATGGTTTATATTCAAATGTGACTGGATTAAAATAGTAATAGCATACGCCGACAAATCGAAAAAGATGGCGGAGGATCACCCTAGGGCTTAATATTCCAGGCCGATTTCAGTGGATAATCTGGAACACAAGCTATGATCAAAGTCTTTTAAAGTATTTTTATTAAAAATTGAATTAATTATGTAATTGATATAAAAAGTGGGTCTAGCGACTGTTTGACTAGGAATTTACTATTTTTATATTTTAGCATGGTACTTGTCACTTGAGCGGAGAATTTATCAAAAATAACATCTTTATTTTCATTAAATAAGAGTAAAATCCGCATACATACTACTCTCTCAAGACCTAGAGGCGGAACCAGGATTTGAACCTTATAGGTTCGGAATTGTAATCATTTTAAGTTATTGGGTTCTAAATTAATAAGTTGTACATATTCAATGAATTTTTTAAGATAAATACATAATTTGAACAAAAGCTACCGGGTTTAGCCGAACCCGTATCCCGTACTCTACCTCCGTCCCTCTCCAGACCCCATATGTGGGATCAGAGGCGAAGCCAAGATTTTAAGTTTATGGGTTCGAAATTCTAATTTTACTGAATTCTAAATTAATAATTTATACATATTCAATAATTTTTTAAGACAATACAAGGTTGAAATCAAAGCTACCAGTTTCGATTGAACCTACTACCAGTACTTTAACTCAGCCCTTGTGTTGGACCACGGTTGTTGTATATTATAGCACAACAGCTATACGGAAGTGAGCTAAAATAAAAATAAAACAAAGAAGAAAAGCATATTGAATCAATTCTTTTTTTGGATGATACACTTTTTTATTACGTACCACGTTTAGGAAACCCACAAAGATTAAGAAACAAATTAAATTAAACAACATTTAATATGTTACAGCTTCACCCCACAAATAATTTTATTAAAATCCTGCCTCCCAAATACAAAGCTCACAATTTGGCGCATGCAATTTAATACCCAGAAACATATTGCATGAACTCTGTGTCTAACTCAATGCCTTCCATTGTTTCCGGTGACAAAACCACCTCCAAATCAACGCTTCCTCCTCCTTCTCTCCCCGGAAACGCTGATATCTTCCCGTCAAACTTGTTCGCCCGCCCGCTCCGAATAGCAACGGGTCTGCCCCACCCGAAATCATTGTCGTACATTGGGAATCTCGGCGAACTTCCCATTGTTACCATAGCTCCGTCGAAATTCCCTAACGGAAAACACCGTGGATCCTTCTCCCAATCCTCTACAAACTTCCTCACCATAACATTATCGTGTGCCTTCACGTTTTTGTTCAATTGTTCCGCGCACCAACGCAGATCGTGTGATAATACGTCTCCAGCTGATGTATATGTTGGAATGCTCTGAATTGCGTTGCCGAAATATAACGGATCGAGTTTCGGGTGGAGACGGTGACGGCAGTTTACAGCCATTCGGAACGTCGTCATTTTGGAAGCTGGGAATTTTCTCGCACGTGTCACTGCACGCCACAACAATGCGCAAAGCGATTGAAATGATGAAATCTCAGCCGTTGAATTTACAGCTACCTTTTCAGTTCTCATTATCAAGGGATCGTTGCTCTGTTTCGCCATCAATTCAACAATGTTAATTTCTTCGTTGAAATTCCATTTCTGATTGTTCGTTTTTGCTTTGAGTCTTTGAATTGATTCCCTGCTGAAACTGAAAATCCTCTCTCTCAATGGAGCGTCAGCGTCAAAGGTGACTTTGGGTCCATTAACTGGGAGTTTTAATACTGCATTTGAGATCAAAATTGAATTACGGGTGAAATTCGGCTGCTTCGTAATCCTTTTCACACCTCTACTCACCTCAGCAAAGGTATTAAAAAAGTTCCAAAATGACGTGCCGTCAGTGACGGAGTGGTTGACGGCGCAGCCAATGAAGACGCCGTCAACTAATTCCGTTACTTGGACAGCAAGAAGAGGACTAAAATGCCCTTGATAACTCACTGTACGATCAAAAGGGAAGAACTCTTTAACATGATCATGAACATCAATTGAGCCAATAACATCGCGAATGAAAATGTCAGTAGCAGTGGCGTATACAAAATCAACACCAGTATCATTGCAAGAAATGTAGACGTAACCATCTTGGTCAGTCAATAGACGACCGGCCAAAGGAGGGAAGTGAGTGAGAGTTTGAGAAAGACTGAGCTTGAGAAGGGAAATGAGGTGAGTGATGGAAAAAGAAGGACAAGTAAAGAGACAACCTTTTTGAATATAGTGAACGGAGAGCATAGGAAGGTCAGAAACAGAGAGTTTGAGGTCAGGAATAGATGATTTTTGAGAGGGAAAAATGGTACATTTGTTGACCAAAGTTACAGCTCCAGAAGCTTTTGACATGGCGGAGCAAGGCATTGTTAATTAATTTGCAGTTTGACTTGGATTAAGTAGTGATGTGAAGGCTGAGGATGAAGTGAGAGTAAGAAGAAGGGCTTTATATAGGGAGTGAATGGAACTTGGATTCATGCATTTGGGGAGGTGGCAATTGCTGTTTGAAACATGGGTAAGTTGACCTAGTGTTCATTTTTTATTTTGATTATGATTTTGGGGACTACTATTTCAAAGATATGACTGGTTGGCGCGTGCCCAACTAGTTATAAACAATAATCAAACTACGAACAATTTCTTGACATCAACTTAAATTCTAAAATTGGCAACTTGGACCTCAAAATCAAACTATGCAAGTACAAAAATAGAACGGAAGAGGTATTAACTTGTTTATTTGACTGAACACGAATTTTAAGTAAAAAAGAAAAAAAAATTATATAATTTTAAATATGTCATAATATTGTGTTGCCTAAATTCATAATTAAAGATATAAAGAAAAAATTTAAAATTAAATTATTTTCAAATATTAAAGAATATCATTCTTTTCTAAACGACCTAAATAGAATATAGTGTTACATCAAACATAGGAGAGTTATAAAAGCAATACTACATTTGCAGAGTGAACTATCAGTGATCTACTCAGCAGCAACAACAGCAACATTAACAAATCTAGTGACGGCAGACCTCATCCCTATCTTGGGGAGCAGATGCGGACCTAGGCTATATAAAGAAGGGTTACCGGCACCCGTAAAGTTAATAAAAAATTCATGTATATATTTTTAGAAAATAGTGATATATTAGTAGTGAGTACCCTATATACAAAGCAGATTTTAGTTGAATCCAAAAGTGCACTCCCGACATGCAAATTCTGGATCCACCTCTGTAATGGGAAGATAAAGAGGTTATTCCCGATAGACTATCGGCTCATGAAAAATATAATCACAACATAATTGAAAAGAAATACAATTACGAAAAAGAAACAATAACACCAGCATGACAATGATCTACTCAGCAACAAAAAATTATTTGCATTGCTGTGAGAGATACAGAGAGAGACAATGAGACAAATCCCTGATAATAATCCATAATTAAGCGCCGTCTTTTAGCGTTCTGTATGTGACCTGTCATTCTCCTTAAGATTAGAAAACTCAGTTTAGAACCTCCTTACTCCTAAAATACGTAACATTAATCAGAATACTTCTGCATATCCAAACTGTCCCCAATCCCACTTTTTAATTAATTAATCCCACTATTAATTAAATACTTGACCTTAGCATCTAAATTAGTTTACTGACTGAAAAAGTCGGCCTATTAATGCCAAGAATGATCCTTAAAACCGTCTTTTTGATTGGTCGGTGTATGCTATTACTTTAATCTAAGGATGGATATATATAAACCAAATACATTATTCAGTAGTATCTCCTAATACTATATGTACAAAATGTATTATGTAATGGTTTGACTCTATAGTTCCACTTGAATCTATGCTGTCTTTTCATTAATTAATAGCAACAAATTAAGGTAGCAAAAATCTTAGACCTTACTGGCTTTCCAGCTTCCACGTGAACGACAACTTACGAACAATTGTGAAGAATTTAATTATTAAAAAGTCACACTTTTTGTTAGGACTATGCAATTAATCTAACTGTACTACTAATGTTGAAACAGCATATATATTGCCTGAGGATGTTAAAAATGCATAATTTTTAATGTACACTGAATGAGATTAACTGTGTACATATCACCTTATTGTGAAGTTCCTTCATGTATTAGGACCCCTTTTCATCCTTCTCAGAAAATAAAATAGAATTTCTGCAGAAAAAAATGATATCAGCTTTAATATATCAAGGTTATATGTAACATTAAAAACGTCACTCCGTACTTCGTTTTATGGGATTTCCTAAGCTAAATTAGACAATTTGGAAAACTTCTAGTAATAAAAGCATAGCATTCCTGTTGTATTGTTACATACAATATGGTTTCTATAAGGATTACTTGAGATTAAAAATCCGTATAACAAAATAAAGATATCAATAGGTAGAAGTAGAACCATGTTAAGCCTCTAGTCGTTTTCCTTTGTTCCACATCTAATTTCTGTGTAATTCCAAGAAATGTTTTCTTTAATTTGTAAATCCTTCTATAAGTTCCACCTTAATCAAGAAATCAAATTTGAAGCATTTAAGATCAACGATAAGTAGGAGAATATGACAAATTTGTCACCTAATAAAGATAGTCTTTTTGTGCGAATTGTAAACTGAGCTAAATTTAAGAAAATTTTGCATATTAAACGTACTATTTTCTGTTTGAAATAGGAAATTTCGATCCTGCTCCTGTCTAAGGTACTGTCCATTTTCTGTGACTAACTAGATTCTAAAGATAAATACAGCCATCCAACAAACTGGACGAAGTTATTTCTAGCCATCTTGAACGAAATATTCGAACAAATCAAGTACTCAGAGTCTATCGCACTACAAATTGGCC